GGCCCCCGCCCGGCGCCGCGGGAGGGAGGCTGGCCCCGGTCTCGAACGTCCGGCCGACCCCGGCGCGCCCCGCGCCCGCTGACAGCCCTGCCGCGCTCGAGCTGTGCGCTCCGGGCTCCGCGGCCTCGGCCCCTTGGACTCCCGCCCCTCCGTCTCTACCCTCCCGCCCCTCGTGCGGATCGCTTCGCCACCGCTCGCCTCGCCCGGTGCCCGGCCGTTTCTCCATTTCTCGGCCCCCCTCTTCTTGAGTACTTCGCCCCCTGCATTTGGGGACAGGGGCAGGCAAGGGGGCGGGAGGAGCGTCGGGAGAAGGCAGCGAGGCCCGCAGCAGAGGGAGGAGAGTCGCGGGCCGTGGGGAGGAGACCCCACGCCGCCCTTGCTGGTCATCTCCCGCCCCGCCCCTGCGCACGCTCCCTCGCGGGCGAGCTACTTTCGGACGAGGAAAGTGAGGGCGGCCCTGGGTGACAGCGCCGCGGGGCCAGTCCCGGGGAAGACGAGCGTCTGCTCGCGTCTAGTCCGTCGCGCTTCCAGCCAGGGCACAGCCCGGACTGAGGATGGCTTCCACCACCACCTGCACCAGGTTCACCGACGAGTATCAGCTTTTCGAGGAGCTCGGAAAGTAAGCGCCCGTGCCCGGCATCCGCGCGTCCCCTTTCCAACAGAGGGCGGGTCGCTTTGCCCCCGACCCATGGGCCTTGGACGTGGGGCAAGGGAGTTGGGGGGACCCGAGAGGGAGGAGGGCAACTGGCTGGTCAGCCTGGGGAAGAAACTGTCTTAGGAAGGGGAAAGATCCTTCACCTCGCGTGTGGCCCATTCCGATCATCCCTAGCCCACCTTTTCCCGCTCCCCCACCCTCTTGCACCGAGACTTAGTGAATTTACGATCTCTGCAGTTGTAGCTGTCATCCTGAGAAGTGTGCGTGGTGCGTGTGTGTGTTTGGAGAGGAAACAAGAACCCATGTAAAATGCAACATAGATCATGTTTTCTGTAAATAGAGATGCCTCCTAGTTAGCCGGCTTGTCGGCGTAGGACCCACGTATGGATGAGAACTCGCTGCCCCAGACGGTGCCATATTTATTGATGCCGAAAGTTCAACTTGGCGTACAGTGTATTTCACATCCAGTAGTTGTTCTGTCCAGGAAAAGGGCCACCCAACAGAACCCAACCCCCCTGCCCCACATCCACGGTTATTCTTGGCTCTGGAGTTCTTGCTCACCCTCGTTCTTCCCAGGATTTTCCTGTGCATCTTTGCATTCTCTGGGAGGATTTATTTATCCGGGCAGTGGGAAAGCCCTCTGGAGACTGGGAGAGCACTTCCCAAGGGTAGCCTAGCGTGATAGAAAAGGACTTCCTACTCCCGACTGGCAGAACTACTTAGAGATGTTGAGGAAGGGGACAGGGGGACCTCCTGAAGACCTGTGCAAAGTGATCTGGGAGCCCAGGCGCAAATACTGATTTATGTAGCACCAAAGCCAATTCCTCCATTGACAGTTTCAGCTATTACTTATGAAGGGGGTGCGTGGACGTGTAAGATGATGATGTGTACAATTAAATAAAAGGAAATGCAAGTATGTTAAAATATTATAAAAATTATTTCCATATATATGTCTATATTGCCTGCAGTTAAAACATGGAGAATATGTCGG